TTCATATATTCATTGTATCTTACTATTTCAACTTAGTTGATATAACCAATTACCTTGTTACCCCCACCAGCACAGCAACAAAGTTTCTTTAGAAATCTTCAGCCTTTATTCATTGAAAGATAGTTAGCAGTGCTCTATGGCCACCTGTAAGACCTTCCAATGCCTGTGAGCAGGCTATTTTTGAGTTTGAACTTACAGCACAGCTGCCTTTGCACCATCAGCAGCAACTATTGGAAAAAGTTATTGCAATCCCTGCATGAGTGGGGGGCCACAAAAGCCAAATTGACCCTCTCTTTGCCCTGCTAGATCCACAATGCAAGTAGAAAGGAAGAAGGCGAGTCAAGTGACAAAATGTCACTAAGCCAGGGAAAATATTTGGCCTAACATGACTCAGTCAATAAGTACATAATGTTGGTCACAAATAACAAAAAAAAAAATTAGTGAAAAGCCGGATTGGCCCCGTCTTTGTTCTGCAAGATCCACTATGCCCGCAGAAAGGGAGAAGGCCACTCAAATTTCTAAATCTTTTTCAACTGAGCCAGGGAAAATAATTGGCCTGATCTGACTCTGTCAATAAGTACATAATGACGGTTACAAATCAACACACAAATTTGTAAAAAGCAAACCTTCAGAATCTCTTCTCCTTCGTCATACTCCTCATCTGGTTTCGACTGTATTTCACCATCTTCCACATCATGGGCATCTGCCAGCAGCTGTTGGGCTCTTTCTATCTCTTTCTGAATCTCCCTTCTCTTCTCTTCTGTTTCAAACACATTAGAGAATGGGGGCCTTGTTCTCTCTCTATCTCGTAAGGAGCTTGGTCGATAAACCTCCTTTTCATAAGACTACAACACAAACAAAATAAATGAGTTGAAAGAGCTAAGCAACATTGGTTAAGGAAATATTTTTTGTTATATGGAAAATTACAGAAGAACACAAACTATTACTTTGGGAAGACAGAAAAACTCAGTAGGGATAACAATTAACAAAGAAGTGGAAGGATGGAAAAGATTAAAACTGACTGAAAGTAGCTACATGTATTCAAAAGACAATACAGTGGAACCTTGATTTAAAGAAGTGCCAAGGGACTGGGGAAATTGGTTCGTTATAGAGAAGGTATGTTATATTGAGGTTCTGTGGCATACATTTTACTGTAACTTTAGCCGGACTGAAACTTGAGTATTGGTTTAGTTGTTGATCATTTACTTTATTCTCCTGACCTTAATGTGTGATTCAGGGGTGATATTGTAAGGAGAACTTAGATGATAGTCACTTTTTGGGGTCAGAAGGTTAAATATCCAACTATCCACTGCCAGTTCACTTTGATTACAGATGATATTCAAAGTAAAATGATCTTCAGTTAAATAAATGTAATATTCAAAGCCAAGTTAGCATGAATCGCACAGGTTGAATCACTAAGATTTTCTTTTCAAAACCTATTCTTTTGGTTGGAAGGCAAGTAAGAAGAAGGACACTCTGACTTGCTAAGATATACTCAGAAAAGGAAATCCAGTCTATTCTAATGAACTAGCCCACACCAGTCTCCTATATGCATAACTCAGCCCATACTTAGAATTATCCCTGTTGGAGAAATTCCAAGTTGGAAACTGGATAATGGCAACACAGTTTTCAAGAGAGAAGTTTGACATTTTTTTCACAAGCTTTTACACAGTTTACGACATTTACAGGGGGGAACTCTCACAAAGCATTTTTTTCTTAAATGCTTATTTGCAAGGAGAGCATGTTGATTTCATAAATTCAAGTAAAGGATCATCAGTTTATTTGTAATCAGTTTACAATGGACAATCATGCCAGACTTGATCATTACAGACCAACTTTTTCTTTTTGAAAAAATTAGCAGCAAAATTTCACACACAATGTGTGGGAAAACACTGCACATAAATGTAAACATTGCAGTGTAAAATGAATTTAGGTCATTTCGATTTCTGACTGGTTTATAAAGTATTTTCTTTTGTTCCTTATACCTCATTTAACCATATTACAAACCAATTTCTAATTAGAAGTGCAACATAAATGGTGTAGTCTAAATTAATTTCAGGTTAAAACGATTTCAAACTGGATCGAACAGCACAATTCTTTGTTTAAGTATCATAGCAATGTAGCTTGGAACAGGGACAAAAACCATTTTTTTTTTATTCATTTGAACTATTAGTAGCATAAAGATAATTATTCAATATGTGAACAGCATGGCCTGAACACATTTCCAGCATGAGGACCAAACATAATTGCACAAGCAGAGATTTCATTGAAAGATAATTGGTTATATCAACTAAGTTGAAATAGTAAATTGGCCACCGTAACGAATAAAAAAGCTGACGTTTCGAGTGTTAGCCCTTTGTTGGAGCGAAGGGCTCTGACGAAGGGCTATCGCTCGAAACGTCACCTTTGAAACTTTTTTACGGCGACCAATTTACTTTGTCAACTCAGTTGATAAAACCAAAATGACCTTGTTACTCCTACTGACGCGGAACCACAGTTTCTTTAGAAACCTACCCTCTTCATTCATCCGTTTGGACGGTTCGTAAATCATAACCTCTCGGACGTCACATACCCTTTTATAAAATAACAGAAACACTAAGAGAACCTTGATTGGTCAAAAACCTTTCGTTTATTGCACTGGTAAACCCATAGAAAATTTAAACATATTCGGTGTCAGGAGCCCTCTTGGCCGTCAATTTTGTCGTAAGTGTATTTTATAAAAACAGTGGACCACACTTNTGCTACCTTTCTATAACATCTAGAAATGGTTAGATATTCTAGTCTTCTCGGATAGGGACGAATAAATGGAGGTCCCATCTCCTGCAGGGTTAGGGGCAGGAGATGTTAATTTCCCCCACACGAGATTACTGTGTGATGGATGTCCTCCCCTGGGGTGGGATAGGTGGGAGGGTGGACTAACACGAATGGTTTCTATGTTCCTTTCTAGTCCTTCCCCACTGCAAAACTTAATGCAGTGAAAATGAACTAAATTAAATTAAATTTAACTACCAGAAGTGATTAAACATGTAATTTCTCCCCATAATATTCATACATTATCAGGGCTGTGGTCTAGCAGCACCCAGTGGCACTTGGCACCTTACTTTTGCTCTTGGGTGACTCAAGAATCTTAGTTTCTTCATAAAAAGCAAATGCTGGGCACCCTGGATTTCACATTTTAAGAGCACTGGGCTCCCTTCAATTTTTCTTAGAGTACAGCCTTGATTATCCAGCAACAGATAAAAAGAATACTCAAACTTATCAGGTAGAAATAGTTACCTTGATCTAACACCAAATTCTCGTGACCAATATATGAGGAATGAAATGTGTGACAGCTAGAGGGGAGAATTAGCAATCAGATCTTCGGAGCTTGATGATTAAATGCATTCCTTACCTCTCTTGCAGCTGCATTTCTTGCTAAATCTAAGGAGTGTGTTCTTCTTACTCGGTCAATCATTAGATGGTTTTCAGGCGCATCCTCACTGCATGAAGAATCCACATAGACAACAGTAAGCATTCTTTTTGAAATCTTAAGCTCATTCGCTATTACGGTTGTAGGTGATGAAAAACTTTTACTAAGAAAATCAAGATCAGTTTATCTGAAACTGGGTTTGTTTCTGAAAGAAAAAAAAAGCATGTGAATGCCCTAAGATAGTTACAAGTCATACCTTGATGATCGTGGAAAAGAGTATTTTCGAACAACATCTCTGTCAAATGTTCTTCTCTGTGGAAAGATACTAAGAATCAAAAGTTGCCATATTCTGTAAAATTATTCAGTTAATTTGAGCCTTGGGTAGAATTCTGGAATAAAAACCTCTAAAAAACAATGAGATTCTTCTCAGAGCACAACTCTATGATATACAATCAAAATGATTTTTCCAATCTTTACTTTGACACTGGATAGTGATTTATTGGTTATCCGCTCTTTGAACAGTTGGGCCGAGGACAATAATCAGAAAAATTTCAAGAACCAATCAACATGTATTTCAAAAGTTCCAAACAAATTATACAAGTATTCTGACTTAAATGGGCTTCTGTTCCAAAGGGGTGTGACCCCAGCCAGTTGCCTGGGATCATAAAATTTGAATTTGATTAATATTTCACATATCCTGATTGTATTCTAGTAGATTAAGATTGTCATTTGAGAACTGAGGAGACTCTAACAGACCAAAATGTATAGGAGAGAACTTCAAGGACTTTCGAGGCCTTGTAAATGGGCAGTTAAAAATCAATGGATACTTACAAACCTGGTTTATTGACATTGAACAATATTGGCAAAATCTCAAATCACCTTTTCTTGCTCATGAGCTGTTGCACTGAGATACTTGAAAATATGTAACTTCCCTTTTGTGCAAACCTGAAGAGAAAAGAACACTGATTCATTTAGTTCCTTTTTACAATGTCATTCAGGACTGAATCATATGTAAAGGTCACAAAAATATGGGAAGTTATCACCAACTGAGAATACCCTTGATTATTAAACAAATTCTCCTTGTCAGCACTCTAGGAAATGCATAGAGAATAGTATGGAGAATATACATACTGATGTGTACAATGTAACAAGTTCAGGATTACCACATGATAAAAATAAGGGAAAGGAACCAGGTATTATAATTCTGCTAAAATCTGAATCCATCCAATAAGTTTCATAGCTACATGTAGGAAGGAGATGGTGGAAGAATATTAATTTTTTTTAAGAATGAAATTTGAAATTTCCATAAGGTCATAGTAGCAGCATGTAGGATAAATATTGTAAGAAATATACAACTTTTTTTTTAGAGATATGTTTCGGCATGCTTATGCCATCTTCAATCAATGAGTAACTGAATGTGAGTAATTATATAACAGACAAGTAGATGAATAAAATATTTACAGTATGATGTAATACAAAAGTGGGTACTAATTACAACGTGACAACAAACACGAAATTAAAGGTGTGAACTAAAATGCATTATAACACTTTTCTAGCATTTTAAATAATTCACTCCTTTAATTTCATGTTTGTTGTCATGCTGTAATTAGTACCCGCTTTTGTATGACATCATACTGTAAATATTTTATTCATCTACTTGTCTGTTATATAATTACTCACGTTCAGTTACTCATTGATTGAAGATGGCATAAGCATGCCGAAACATGTCTCTAAAAAAAAGTTGTATATTTCGTACGAAATTTGAAATATTTGGACATACCTGGGCTGGGGGCGACGTCAAAGGATTGTGTGCAAGCTCCAGCACAGATAAACTTGTGATAAGCCGGTACGCAGGAGGAATCACCGACACTTTGTTATATGAAAAATCTAGTCTAACCAATTTTAATTTACTAAGTTCTGCAAAAGGAAAGAGCATGCAACAAATTAATCAAACAGACTGATGAAAGACAGCACAAGGTTAAGTTTTAGGAGTAATAGAACTTTTTATCTATTGAGAAATTGCTGAAGGAAAATAAAGGTTGTGCCAAAATCAATAAATAATCAATGTTGAACCCCCATTAAAGAAAGCAAAATTGAACTATTAAAACTTACCATCTGGTAAAACTTCTAAACGATTCCTTCGAATGTTTAAATCCTTCAGGGATATCATTTCTCCCATGCTACTGGGTAGGTGCACCAATTCATTTGAACTTAAATCCTGCATAGAGAGAAGATCACAGCAAAAACATTTGCCAAATTTTAAAGCATTTTCAGGTAGAACAAAAAATTAAGTTCAGTCTTAGTGTCCCTTGAAATTATTGTAACAATGTATGGAATCAACCGAAGTTCTTAATCATGATAGGATGCATAAGATTGCTCTTAAATCCAACAAACGAACATAGAGCCCTCCTTCCATAAGTCACCGCAGACAATAAGATAAAAACTCCTGGATATCCCAATGAGCCATTGAACTTAAAGTGACAACAAGTGCACAACCCTCAGGGTGGGAAAATAAATATCGCAATTTTATGAGTGGTTTTTACTATTGCATCTGATTCATCAAACAAGGTGGTGTTTGATTTATGGATCCATCACAGAACATAAAGAAGGAAAACCAAATAATTTTACCAGGTTGGTTTCATCAAATAATCCAAATTGTTGTACGAGCAAGAGTCAGTAGGAACTAGGATAACATAACTTATCACTAATAGTTGCATTTGATTGGTTAGCATGGGTTTCTAGAGCCAATCCCAGAATAAATTAAATCAAAATGAGTGTACTTTCAGATTTTTTTTAAAAGTTACTGAATGGGGTGCGTTACATCACACAGATTTGCATGAACTGTAATTTAAATAGCTTTATAACACCAGAGAATTAAATTCTCAAGTTGATACCATTGTACACGCTGAGGTTAATGAAAGTACTGCTGATTATCATTAACAATACTGCTTCTCACTACATGCTGCAATAAGATAAGCTGCCTATTGGATTAGGCCTCTGGGTTATCAACAGAATTTTCTTCACCAAGGTTAATAGATCATAACATTACTTACCAAATCTTGTAACAAAGTTAGGTGTCCAATTTCAACAGGCAAAGAAGTGAGCTTGTTGTTACTTAAGTTCAGGGCTTGCAGAGGCAAGGAGCAGAGCTCTGAGGGGAAAGTGGTGATCTGGTTTCGTCTGTAGACAAAAAAATGAGGCAGCATAATGTAACTCACAGTCACAACCCTTTCTAAAGATAATTTGGTTTTATTAACTGAGTTTATCAAATATATACCTAAAGACATATACCTAATACTTTGTTTACATACTTCTTTTAAAACTCAAATCTTGTTTGAACTTTTTCTTTTTGCTTTCCAGCTGTTCTTTTTTTCGGTTTCATCAGGTAACAAATCTTGTAGTGGCTAAACATTTAATTAGTTGTAATAAGTTCAGTGCATTTGATGTTACATCAAGCAGGATGTTCAAAGATAAGGTAGTAGAGATAAGGGATTCTCCAATTAATTTACAAGATACTTCCGCTAAATTTCGATGGCCTGAATCATTTTTCATTCAGATATGAACAATAATCTCCCTTTGCCTTTGACCACATTACTTAAGAAAAACTTTGATCAAAACCCTGTGTGAAGAACGCGCTTCAAGAAAAAACTTTCTTCGAGCCAAGGACTGACGGAAAATTGTTTTTCATTTTCACATAAACGTATCAGCTGCAATCCAATTATAGATTATTCACACTTGCCGTCCTTCGACATCTTCATTCGCACTGATTAATCAACATAAAAGGTAAACAAACGTACCACGCATTGTTCTCCAAATCGTACAAAAATGGTGTAAATGTCAACATCATTTATACCATCATAAACATAAATCAGAGAATGGACGAAAAAATAATAATTAAGAAGCCAAGCAGTGTTAATGAAGGGATCAAAACCTCCTGCAAGCATTCTCAAATACAGCTTGATGAATTATTTGTTGATTATAACGAGCATCTGCAGTTGTGATTTAAAACTTGGTTCGGATCATATCATCAGATAAAAATTAGGAGACATGATTACATCGCACTATTCGCATTACCTCAAGTTTAGGACGCGAAGAAATTTCAGTTCACTCATTTGCGATTCTGGAACTCCCCTTATGGTATTGTGATATAAATCCACTCTTTCGATCATAACAAAATCGCACAGCTCTGCAGGGAATTCGGACAGTTTATTTCTTGACAAGTCTGCAAGATAAAAGATCAGTGATGTCATTGCAAGCAGTCAGACATTGAGTCCAATTGTAAGCGAGAAATTGTGTACTTTATCTTAACGCAATGACAATATTTGCAGCTTATAAAGCTTTTAGAAAGCTCACCTATTTCGATTACATCGATTAACTCGCAATCGTCTGTCGGATCTGGGAAATCGCGAAGGTTCTTCTGACTCAAATTGAGCCTTCCCGTCTCCTCTGCCTCTTTGAAGCATCTCTCTAGCGATGTATTTCCCGACATGGTCGGGTTTACATGTTAAAAGGAAGATGCTAGCCCTTTAAGTCGACACCTCTTCCACCGGGTCGGCGACATCTTGGAAATCTCTCGCCTCGTGATTGCACGGCGCATGACTGGGATGTATTTCCCACGAGCCTTTGAGGTATTTGACGTCAAGGTTTCTAGACTGGAAGTCCTACTGGTTATTTCCAATACAATACAAACTTTATTGACACTCCCTAAAGAGGGTTTTTCGTATGATTTCAGTGTTTATGATCCCTCTTAAACACTGAAATCAGACATTAGGCAAACTAAAAGGAATTTAGCCCCTTAAAAACTGAGACTTTCGGCGATGTGAGTGCCCCATTCAGTTCTAATGAGAGACTCAGAATTTTCTTTCTCCAACGGCCAACCATGACAAACGGTTGAAAGTAAGACAAGTAACTCTTTCCTTAGACGGAAATCGCGATTTTCTATCTATCATACTGTGAAACAGAGCCATTGACGTTGATCGATAAAATATTTCTAGAAGTGACAAGTGTCGAAGGCAAGAATCAAACGAATTCAAGAAAAATTCAGCTCAAGTGATATCTTTGGTCACTTCCCTTTCTCGGATCTGTCATTCATTTTGAGTTGACAAGACATTGATACACTTTACCGTTCCCTTGAAAACCATGTCTGATTTTGTGACTAGGACTCAGCTCCGTCTGAAACGGTAATTTTGGTTTTATCAACCGAGTTGATAAAGTAAATTGGCCGCCGTAAAGAGTTTCAAATCTGACATTTCAAGCGTTAGCCCCTTGTCACGGAGCGAAGGGCTCTGACGAAGGGCTAACGCTCGAAGGGCTCTGACGAAGGGCTATCGCTCGAAACGTCACCTTTGAAACTTTTTTACGGCGACCAATTTACTTTGTCAACTCAGTTGATAAAACCAAAATGACCTTGTTACTCCTACTGACGCTGAACCACAGTTTCTTTAGAAACCTACCCTCTTCATTCATCCGTTTGGACGGTTCGTAAATCATAACCTCTCGGACGTCACATACCCTTTTATAAAATAACAGAAACACTAAGAGAACCTTGATTGGTCAAAAACCTTTCGTTTATTGCACTGGTAAACCCATAGAAAATTTAAACATATTCGGTGTCAGGAGCCCTCTTGGCCGTCAATTTTGTCGTAAGTGTATTTTATAAAAACAGTGGACCACACTTTCTATCGTTTTACCGGCGTAATAACCCACTTAGGATGTTGAGAGAACACAAGGAAAGTTCGTAAATCAATCGCCTCCAACTCGTGACCTGCAAACTTTTCTCGTGTCAGCCCACGACTTCCCGCGAGTTATTGCGCTGGTCACGTGATGCGTTTCGACTAACAAAATTTTGTCGTGTTCCCCTCGACTTCCCGAGCGTTATCGCGTTGGTCACGTGACGCGTTTGGACTTACAAACTTTTCAGTGCCGTGTTCTCCGAAAAACCCGCGAGGGTTATTACGTTGGCAAACCTAAACTAAGTGTAGTCTGTATTTATAAGGGTGTATTCCGCCAGGGGTTAAACGTGGGAAATCGTACTTTTAAATCTTCTAATTTTTCCGTCTCTCAAATGCAAGTTGGAAAAGTAGATTTAAATTTTCTTTGATTTATTATTGAAATGTCTGTGAATCTTGCCGTGAAAACAATTGCAAATTAGCAGAATTGCTAAGGAGACGAAACAATCCAGCCCAATCTTTTTTGACCTGGTACAATGAGAAGTCCCAACTATTATTCCTGCAGGGGCGGCAAGGCTTTTTTCGAGGAAGGTATTCGATTTTGTTTTAGTACGAGGCACGTACGAAAAATAGGAGAAAAAAAGAGGAAATGAGAAAAGTCCGGTTCCACAGTTTACTCCTGTGATCGGGAAGGATGGCCCCAGACCTCCCTACAAACTCGCACCCCCGACACTCTATTTTCAACCCCACCCCCCCAAAACGAAACTGACAATATAATCATTTATTTGAAAGATCTTACAGTCACTGATTAACTGAATTCAATCGCAATCGGTAGTTCACGTGTTAAAAGTACTCTAGCCTAAGTGCAGACGTGCCCTTCCCCCCCCCCCAACCGAGGAGAAACGGAAGTGACGTTATAGAA